TTATCCCATTAGATCAGTGTTATATGTATGAAAAGGATATCGATGATGCTAATCATCTCTTTCACATTTTAAGGAAGCGAGGGAGTTATGAGATCATTCTGTAAAAAAAAAATTCTAATTAGGGTCCATCGAGTAATGTGAAGGACTCTGGATATAACCATCTCCATGCAGCTGGTAGGAACACACAAGAAACTCCACACAAGATTTTGTTTACAACCCCAACATGAATCATGTGGACTCTGCCGAGTGAAGCACTGGTAAGTGTTTTGATTGTGAAACTTACCCTAGTCATATACTGATGCATAAGTGTTTAACTGACCTTGTTTTTGGTATCATAAAACTTTAAAATGATATTGTTGATAAGTTGAAATTGTTAACAATGTAGATATCATATTTGTTCTTCGGAACATCCTTTAAGCACTTTTTGTAACTCTCAGCAACTGCTCACACAGTTAATAATACTTACTTGTTTTATCCACAAAAAAAAGAAAATCAAAACAAGCTCAACGTAGAAAAAACAAACTTGAACCAAAAATATAAAAATGAAAAAAATAAACTTGAGGAACCAAATAGATCACGTAACATAAATCCGAAACAAACCTCGTGAATTTTGCTTTCAGTAGTAGTACGGGCCAAACCACCAACAAAAATCTCTGTCCCTTTCATTTCCTGTTCTGCTAAGCCAGAAAAACAAGAACAGCCCATTAAAGGTGAAAACCCACATTGCGTATGTGAATACACATCATTCAACACCCTTTATTATTCAAGATATCGAAAAAGAAATCACAACTTCAGTGAACTAATATATAAACTCGCCCCGCCCAGTGAACGAAAAGAGACTGCGTGTTCAGCTCTTTTAGGGTTCTACCAGTGATGAGCTATACTAAGGCTGCTTTTTTGTCAGCAATTCAATGATTTGCATCAAAATTCTCAGTTTTACTTTGGCCAAACAAATGTATGGCATTCCAACTTTTCTGGAAAAACAATCTAACTTTTATCCACTCTAATTATATGAATTGTTTTTATAACAAATTAATTACCTGAAAAAATGAAGTCTCCAATGAATTCTCAATCCGAGAGTGATTCGGTCGGAACCCTAAGCCCTCAAATCAGTTGTCGTTTCGGAGTTCAGTTTTCCCTGCATATCATCGTACTATTTTTCTATGCAGAAGTTGGGGAAAATAGTGCTTTTAGCCCTCAAATTATTGCCTTTTACTCTTTATATTATTCTGCAGAGCATATATGACCTTTATCTATATCTAATATGCTATTTTAGTCCCTCAACAAAGCTAAATGGCAGTAAGGAATTATGTTGCAATTACAAAAATAAAACAAAAAATGCAAGCTCGATTAATTTTACGAGATACCTTTTGCCAGCAATAAGTACTCGTAAACTATTTATAAATACTTGTAAACTATTTCCACTAAGACTAAAACAATTAAAAGAATCACCTAGTGTTTTGACATTAGGAGCACCGTTCCTAATGTCTTACCTCTGAGAGATTGAATTACATGTGTGATGTTTCATATTTGCGAAGCAAAGACACATTCAAGATTTTGAGATGATGATGGATTATTATGAAAAGGTGAATTCAAGATATAAATTTGATCAACTTAACATTTAGGTTCTTATCACTAAAAACCATTAAAATTTAAAATTATAGTCCAAAATTATCTTTTATTGATCCACCGTTTAGAGAGGTGTTACACAATTTTAGAAATAAATAAAAACAAGATAAATAAAAGATTCAAATTTCTAGGTGCATCCACTCATCACCGCACGAGATTATATGATACTTGGGTTCTTTAAATATTTATTAAAAATATAACACTTCATCACTTTTTTTTTGTTGTTTTTATGCATGTATATTTACAGTTAGTTTGTTGAATAAATTAATTCGGGATTGAGTATAGTTGTTGATATTGATATTATATATGTCAAACACAACCTGCATGCAAACATAAAAAGGAAGCATCTTTAATTTGGTTTAATCCAATAATGTCTTTTACAATCTATGATTAGATCTCATATTTGAATATGAAAATAACACCATTGTGTTTTTATTGTTCTTTTGGAGTAAGTTGTACACTGCTTTTTGTATTTGTAACATCACTATGTTCCCTCTTTAAGTCTTTCTAGCATCTTTTCCTTGATAAGTCTTCTCATTATTTTACCAGAAGGAGATTTCGGAATACTATCCACAAACTGCACCAGTCTCACTCGTTTATACTGTGCAACGGTTGATGCAACGTAGCTGATGATGTCCTCATGGCTTTCTTTTGCTTTTGAGTTCAATACTACCCATGCTGCTGGTATCTCTCCTGCTTCTTCATCTGGTAGCCTAGAGTTGTAGAGAATATACATCTGTTATTCGTTACAGTTTTTCCATTTTAAAACTGAAATCAGCTAACTGATTTTACTCACCCAACTACTGCAGTATCTTCCACTGAAGGATGTGTGAGAAGGATCCCCTCTAATTCAGCTGGTGCAACCTGTTAAACCAGCAAAGAGGTCCACAGACAAAGGTAAAAACAGAATTCTTGATTCAACTTAGTGAATTAAGTCAAGTTGTAAGTTATAAAAATAAAAACAGGTTCAACTTAGCAAGTTTAGTGATCTTTTTACTTGGAATCCCTTGTACTTGATAAGCTCTTTGATACGATCAACGAGAAAGATATCCCCGTCATCATCAATGTAGCCAATGTCACCGGTGTGGAGCCACCCATCCGTATCAATTGTAAGGCTAGTCTCGGATTCATTTTTGTAGTAACCTGAAAATTTTCGCATCAAAGAGCTAAGTTCCATATATCTACCAATCCCTGCAAGAACAAAAGGTTGTATAAAAGGAAGAGTTATAGTGAGTTACCCTTCATAACACATTGGCTTTTGACACATATCTCCCCTGGTGTGTTCTTGGGGAGAGATCTACCAGTATCAGGATCAACGAACTTTACCTCCAAATTAGGCAGAATAAAACCAACGGAATTTCTTTTAGCGATGTGCTGATTGCTGTGGGAAAGAGTAATGCAGCTGTGCTCAGTCATCCCATATGCCTAGCAGTTGAATAAGCCAGAACAGAACTTGTCAAAAACAACATTTTGGACTGAATAATTCGTTGACATGAGAAGGACCATTATAAGTTTCTAGTGGATGTTCACCTCTTGGACCTGAACATCCGGAAATTTCTTCTCAAATTCATTAAGAATCTCAGGGGCAAGTGGAGCAGCTGCTGTCATGATGGATCTAAGCTTAAGCTTTTTGAGATCAAATTCATCAACGATCGGATTCTTAACAAGTGCTAAGATGATAGGTGGCACGATAGGTGCAAATGAGACTTCATGTATGATGAGTGCATTTAGAAATGCCCTCAGTTCGTACCTACGCATGACAACCACTTTCCCTTTGTTCCTAATGGTTGCACAACAGATTCCAGTTATACCATAAATGTGAAAGAATGGTATCAGACCTAGTATTGTAACTTGACCTATCATTTCTGGACTAATACTAAAGAGTGTAGAGCAGAGGTTTGCTACTAGGTTTCTGTGAGTTAACATCACTCCCTTGGATAGTCCTGTCGTGCCTGATGAAAAGGGCAGTGCACATAGATCACTTTGTTGCACAATTTCATCTTCTTGGTTTGTTATGTGATCAGTTCTGGAACTGGCACGATCTGCAGCTTCGAGCAATTCATCCCAATGAATCGTCCCTTCTGCACGTTCTTCGCCTAGTATTATTACTGGCAATCCACAATCTTTCACCTGCAATTCCCATTACTTTAGGTGGAAAATGAAAGCATCTTGTTTTCCATCATAGTAGAATGCAAGTTTTAGTTGGACCAATACGAGTAACAAGTACAAGAAGTTTGGTCCTAATGAGCCATCTGAAGACACTCTTCTACAAGAGGTGTCATCTCAAATTTCTTAAACAAGTACGTGCCCGTGTGTATATAATAAACATCGATTGAACAAGAAGTAAAGCCTTAAAACCTCTGTAACCCCATACACAAATCATAGATAATGTGCAGACACTGTAAGGCAAAATTCTACATAATCCACTGATAAGTTGGAAGCTTACGTACCTTGTGATAGGTGGGTAGATCAGAGACAATAAGCTTGCCATCAGCAGATTCAACTTGTTTCATAATTTCGGATGAATGAGCTGCTGGATTTGCACCTGAAAAGACACCACCAGCAGCCATGATTCCAAGAGCAACAATAGCATATTCCGGTACATTTGGAAGCACTACCAACACAACCCTTCCTTTTCTTAAGCCAAGGGACCTCAAGGCCTTGGCAAACCTCCTTATGTCTCTTTCAACTTCGCCATATGTGTAGCCTTTGCCCGTGGTAGCATCCACAAAAGCCAGTCTGTCAGCGTATAACTCTACATTATGAAGTACAAATTCTGGGAGAGTCACATTGTCTGGTACATGGACTGGAGGATATCTACTTCGGAAAATGTGTTCATCTTCCTCTTGCTTTTGTGAGCATTCTACAACATGAGTTTCCATTGCCAGGAATATGCCTTGTCTCAACTCCTCAAGCTAATTTATAGGTGAATCATGTTACCTTGGTAAGTACTAAGTAGTAGTAGCATCACGAATATGAAATGAGCATACGTGCAGGTTAGAAGAAGCCTTTTCTTATTTTGGTGATAAGTAAGAATTTGTTGAATCATTCCATTCTGCCTGACGTGTATCATGCACAAGTTATTTTTCCTATAACTCATCTTGCCTTAACTCATCTGCACTAATTCAATCCCATTGCCAGAATAACAATTTCTAAAAACTTATTCTCCGATTAGCTGTGTGCGTCTCACTTGCACGCATTCGGTTCGTATTTACACTGGTCCAGAATTTGCTTTGTGAACTTCAATTACTTAACGTACCAACAACCAGAACGTCGAACTGAAAACAGCTTTGGCAAGGCTACCATAGATAATTCAACCTCATTAAGTTTGAAATTTACTGCATTGAATACCAAGAAGAGATTCAAGACAATTTTTGAATGAGGTCCATAGCATTCTTGATTTCATATAAAAAGTACAGGGTAAACCATGTTAATTTGCATGTACGAGTACAATTTTTTTCAAAGAATATGAAAACAAACGTCAACAACCAAATTATTAAATATAGGCCGCTTATTTTATAGGGAAAAGCTACAAAACCGTTACAAAACCAGAAAGTAGGCAAGAGGAAGAATTGGAAAAGTAAGACCTATATGTCCAAGTTTGGAATGGTCGAGCGAGGTGTGTAATTGTGATGCATTACAACTCCAAAAAAAGAAAAAAAAGAATCGTCTAATAACGGAGCATGTAGGTTCTGCGTCTGAACCAGTTATAATCAGGTAGTGTCTGGATAGGCCCCAGCGCGGATATAGCAACATCCTGCCAGAAGGAAGAAAATTTTGGTTTAAACTCAGAAAATAAGATAAAGGAAAGTTGAGTGAACAAGATTGTTTCATAGCAATGAACTCCCATGTCTCAAATATTTTTGAATCCTACCTGGTCAAAGATAAATCTGTTTGCAACTCGTTTGATGGTGCTAGCATCCACAGCATCAACCCTTGCAAACAGCTCTGTAGCTGGAATCCTTCTGCCATATGTGAGTAGCTGCAAGCAGGATGATCTTAGTTTACAAATAATCACTGGATCCCATCCTAACGAAGTCAAGCTTACATAAAATACAATTTTTCCACATATTGGAAAGGAGGGAGAGGGGGGGAGGGGGGGAGGGGGGGGCTATCAACCTATGTTCTCCACTTACAAGCAGATGTTGCAGTACGCTTGACATGCAAAAACACAAATACTTGATGACACACTCAAAACTTGTCAGCAAAACTTTGATCATTTGGCTCTTCACATTAGAGTTTTTTCTTAACTCAACATGAGCAAAGGTACTGCGGTTTAAGAGCTGTTCTTTTTTGTTTTCCAATTTTTCTTCTTATAAGGTCTGTTAAGGGCTATTTTTACCAACCAGCTGGCAGCAACACCTTTCAGCATTCATTTTGTTCTAATCTATTCAGACATTAAGCATGCATAATTAGGCTGCTACTTGATGTTGTACTGCACCACCAAGTTACACTACCTCTAACAAAAATGAACTTAATGAACCAAATACGGAATGTGTCAGTGAATTGCTGCTGATATGGCTAACACGTGTTTATATTTAGTTGCAGTAATATTGGTAGTAGAAGCTGTTATAGTGGTGAAGAGGATTATTCAGGCATCGTGAAATCTTGAAATTCAGAATCTATATGCAATAATGGACCAAACTATCGTCATCATCTAGGGTAGGGAAGTGCCATTAGTAGGCTTAGGCACGGTTTAACTAAAACTGCTCCAAGAGTAACAAAGTTCCTAAAATATCCTCTTCGATACTATTATAGCTTCTACTTCAGAATGTTTATGGTCATGGAATGATTCAAGTACATGAAGCAGTTCAGTGTCCCTTTTATGCACATATATGTAGGTGTCCAGAACATTCTTCTGGAAACTAATACCGTGAGAGAAGGAATTAAGTTACATTTGCAGCGTCTTATCTATGATACCACCCAATCCCACCACTTCTCCCCGAAATTACAAGGAATAAACTTAATGAGAAAATACTAATTACAATCATGACAAAACACATGTGTACAACCACAGAATCGGATATCAGAATAGTACCTGACGCCCAATGTCTTCAGCAACAGGACTAGTTCCATCAATGTGTAGCATGAGAGAAGACTTCAACTGCAAACCGATATTGGTTAGAGAGAAACAAAGAAAAACAGCAAGGAGTAATAACAACTAGCCAGACTGTTTAACATTAAGTAACACAAACCTGGTTGCAAGCACGAGTCACATCAGCATCCGAAACCCGGTAGCACAATTTGCTTATCTCGCGCATAATGCAGTAGGACAAATCACTCAAACAATCAGGCTGCACATTAAGAATTCATTTAAGATAAAACAAGGATTATTCACAACCATAAAAAGGATGGTAATACAACACCTAATCATATTAATTTTGTCTTTAGAGAAAAAAAATGTTTCTTTTAAGAACAAATAAAAAAATTGCTCACTTTACTAACCAAATTATCTCAAAAAATCCAAGAAGATAAGAACTACCTTGCCTAATATATAGTAGAATTATTTACAACCACATGCCAGTCAAAAGGGTCACAATACCAACACCTAACCGTCTTTTTTTGGTCATTAGAGAAAAGATCTGCTTCTTTTAAGAACAAATAAATAAAATTACTCAGTTTACACTAACCACAATATCTCAAAAAATCCAAGCAGATGAGTAACACCTTGTCTAATAATATATGAACTACATCTATCCAAAACATGAGCAGTAGATGACATTGAAAAAGAACTACTTCACTCCGCATTCAATATACAACCAATAAACACTTAGAATACTTTTTAAGCATATTCAAGAATCTAGACTACATTTTAATCATAATGAAAACAAAAACAAGCTGAAGGATAAAACGTACATTTTACATAAACCCCACGATAGAAGATGTGGTGCATTAAAACCTTTACATCAAACTCTAATACTCCAATCAGCCGAGCAAGAGCTTGCATTTATAGCAGCTGTTCAGCTAACCAACAGATCCACCCCTCTCAGACTCTCTCTCTCTCTCTATCTATCTATCTCTGTCTCTCTCTCTCTCTCTCTCACACACACACACACATTAAAAAAGAAAAACAAAACAAATTTTATTTGATGGAAGAAAATGCGAAGAAAATAAGGTAATGCATCATCATACTACATTCTCTCCAGGTAGAAGGAACTCTTAGGTGTTAAAGATTTGTACCTTTTGCAACAGCATACCACGCCGGAACAAACCAGTATCCTTATAGTTGGTGTTAAAAGACATCATGGCTCTCAGCAAGTTCATTAATGCCAACACTTTGTGCCAGATCGGAGCTGCAAATGATTAGGAAGTCCCATAAAAACATGAGACAGATCCATTGACATGCTTGCGATGACATAAATTGTAAAAGAACTAGTGATACACTCACCCCATGTGTTTCCCTCCTCCGGCATTTTTATTCCAAGTGCCCAGCATGGATTGCATTACCATCAGTGGAATGGCATCTGGATCAGTCCACGGTGCCCCTTGAAAAGCAACAGCAAATTGTGCCAATGGAATGTCATCATCAATTACCCTAACCTGATTTTGGTAAAATGATCAGCATAAGAACTTATTCTACTGAAAAAAGCACCGTGAAGGCGTAACGAACCCTGATAAGATAGGCATACCTCTGAACCTGTAAAAATTGCTGGTTCTCTGGCAACCAATTCTGAGGCCGTACTCGGATTGGTTGAAAGTTTAGTAAACTGTTTCTTAACTTGCTCAACAAATTCTTCATGTTTAACAGGCCCAGAAGCAACAATTACCTATTTTAATGTCCACGGGAAAGGCTAGAGTTAATACAGCAGATTATGATAATACTTGAAGAATCAAGTTTGAGCTAACAAGCAAGACAGACTAAGAAAAAGAAGATGAAATCATTTCTAAATACCATTCTGGGAGCGGTATAATGTGTTGATATGTAGTCCTTCAGATGACTTCTGGTGATTGTCTTTATATTCTGGGCAGGTCCAAGAATAGTCCTACCCAAAGGTGAGTACTGGAATGCAGTTGAATGCAAGTGGTCAAAGATGACTTCCTCTGTTTGACCTTCGACCTGCAAACAGATAGTTATAATGGATTGCTAATTTTCAGATTGTATATGATACAGGCAGCATGATAGGTTTCATAAGCTCACTACAGGAGTAACTTTTTGGATTGTGTGGAGTTCCCTCTCTTCTGTTTCTCTAGAGAGGAACGTCTTCTCTTTGTAAGGTCAATCACAAACTTAATGCACGGCCATTTCATTTCCTTCATTATGGCTCTTAATCTCTCAAATAATGAGGATACATAGCGGTTAGTACTTAATACTACATTGTATCAACAAGGGCAACTCCCTGAAGCACAATAATCCTCAATAAAATCTTAGGATATTAATCAGTAAACCATTTCAACATCTACCTATGTTTCATTGGATTCAGATATTTCTTTGAATCTAAATAATACAATTAGATTTACTTTTGAAAGTTCTCTGCAACAGTACTCAAATACTATGGACTGTATACTTTCATAAAACTGAAGAAGCTAGAGGTAATTTTAAATGGAAGTAAAAGAAAAACGAAGAAACAGTAAAGTTAAAACCTGTTAGCATCCAGGGAACTCAACAAGAACGCAAGTGATCTTGAATTTCAGAACTGGGGTTAGAGCAAGTTCTTACCCTACGTGAGGGTAATGAGGGTTGCAAGGTTGGCGGTCAGTGTAAAACTAGTCAATTGACATGAATATGCCAATTAGTTTTTAGTGACCAGCTTACTAGTTAAGCTTCAAGTGCATGCAGAGACTAGTAGAATATAACGTAGGGTTATTGCAGCTCATTGACAAAGATCGAAAAAACAGCAAACTTGATATTCAGAGATCAAAGAATAGAGAAAAAAAGTGCACCTCCTCCATCTCCCTGAGGATGACATCACGTTCACGTTCAATCTTTTTCTCTTCGAACTTAGAATTCTGAAGTATATCAGCCAAAATATCCAAAGCTACAGGGACGTCATTATCCAACACTTTAGCATAGTATGCTGTTTGCTCCCTGGAAGTATATGCATTCAAATGTCCACCCATATTCTCAATCTCCTCCTCCATTTCCCAAGAAGTCCTCTTTTCAGTACCCTTAAAGATCATATGCTCAAGAAAATGAGCTGTTCCATTAGTCTCATCGGTCTCAAACCTTGACCCTGCATCAATGAATACCCCAACGGTGGCAGTCTTGACAGCGAGATTAGTCTCCGTGGCCACACGCAGGCCCGATGGTAGTGTAGTCACGCGCGTAGAGGGGAAGCTGAGGATTGATGTGTGGTCGGCTAAAGTTGGGTGTGGCGAGTTGTACTGAAGGAATCGGGAATCAGGATTCTCGAGTCTCTTGATCTTTCGTTTAACGTCTTCAGCCAATCGATCGTAGATCATTGCATCTGGGGGTGGCGGACCGATGGCCGGGGCGGAGGAGGATGTGGCGGCGACGGCGGCAGACGCCGAAGAAAGACGCCGCAGTGAATGGGATGAGGATAGGTTTCGGGACCGGCGGGCTAGGGTTAAGAGCTGCCGGATCGTCATGGCTATGGCTTGTAAATTAGGCTAGGGTTTGTTGTGGTTCCTATACAGAGAAAGAGGGAAATGGGAACGAAGCTCAAGAAAATCAAGAAGCACGCTCTGGTCGACTAAGAAAGCTTACAAACGACGTCGTACTTGTTTCGGGGATGAAATAGTTGCTTTTTTTTTTTTTTTTATGGACTTCCCAAAAATATTGATCCGTTATTAGGCCCATTAGAATCTCTTGAATTAGCCCAACATATCCAACGAAATTAGACTATGAAATTAAATCCACACGCCTACAAATAAGAACGGAAAAATTACATAAATTAATACATTATAAAAAATAATTACCGATTTAGTGATATCTTTTGTTTATTAACATTTATAGCAATGCTGTATTGAATCTATAATATGTATTAAAAGTGAATTATGTATACAATATATATGAATTTTAATTATTTTTTTAAAATATATCATGTTTATTTGGTAAAAAATTGTCACATCGTATTATAATTGTACTAAAATATGTGATAAATGTATTATTCATTATTAAAATTTGTATTAAATGTGAATAATAAATTGTTTATATATATTAAACTTGTAATATAATTGAATTAAAAGGGATCAAGTGAAAAAAAAATATTATTACATATAAATGATAAATATTTTTTTATTATAACATATTTATGTAAGTTTCCCACAAAGAAGAATCATACCAATATCATAAGACTATAAAATATTGATTACGCGGAAAAATTACGTGATTGGGTGATTATGTGATGATATCTTTTAATTAGCTGCTTTTGTGCAAGGAAGGTCTATGGTGCATAATATCCTGATATGTCATGATTTACTGAGACAATATAATCAGAGACATTTTCATTTAGTAGTTGGTATTGGAGGAAAATAATGAGTGTTGATTATATATATCTTTCTTTCAGTGAATTTGATGATACGACATTGATACAAATGAAAATAATCAATTATACAGAAACAAATGATGAACTTGATATAATATTGATTCAATTTATTAATTGATGTAGATTGTATTAGTTAATACAATTAATACAAATGATAACAATAATTATACAAATGTCGGACTTGATAATACAACGCTGATACAATTTTCATTGATATAAATTATATTCGGATACAAACTTTATGCATTAATATAGTTTTATTCATTGATATATATGCATACTAATTATATATACATAATCATCCAACAAATGTATAAATGCAATAATTGATACATACACATACTTGTTACATATATATAATTATATATTAAATATGCTAATACATTTTGCCTCTCTCTTCTTTCTGTCCCTCTCTCGCTTGCCTATTCCCTCCCTATCCATCTGTCAATCTATGAGAAAATGTATAAAATAGCAACCTTATAATTTAAATCAAATGTTACAACCACAGTTTAATTTAATTATAATCCGTACCAACACTTGTCATTCGCGTCTCTCCCCAGAAATCTCGCTCGCCACTCTAACTCGCCTCTCTCACTTTATTTATACAAATGCAAATGTATAAATTCTGTTTGTATAAAGCGACAGAAAACAATATATACAAATATATATATTTTCGTCTTATACACTTATAATTATACAAATACAAATCTTCGCGTACCAGTTTCTCCTTTATCTTTCTCATATATACAAACACGAATTATACAAATTACAATGTATAATTTGTGTTGTATAATACGAGCAAGAGAGAGATTTGTGATAAGAATGTTTTATTTCAGATCAATTGTATACAAATTCAAATTTTATGTACATATACAAACAGAATCATTGGTACATATATATAGTAATTACATATATATAATTGTCTAGTCGATATACATATACAATCGTTGCGCTTTTATACAAACGAAATGCATATCTGCAATTTGTATGAATTTAATGGCCAAATAGCAAAACTATAACTATAGAGCGTTAATATAATTTTTATATTTGCTAAACCTAAAATTTACTCTTATTTTATCTTTTTGTATTTTAAGTCTTTTGCTGTTTTCTGGGCTGGGCTAAATATTGGAGTCAAGATAGAAAGGAGAGAAAGGCCTGGTTGTGCTTTACCCTAACTGACCCCAATTTAATTGTGATTTGATGTCTAACAATGACTGTGCTTCATTACTTCAATATGAGAATTGAGCGAATATCCAAATATATATTAGTTAATTATTTAACATAATTATAATTTTAAAAATTATTTTTTGTCACTGATCTATAATCATATTTATATAGGCCACACTCAAAATTTTTATAAATTAATTATTTAATCGTGTAAATATAGAATTTGTATAATTCAATTCCTAATATATAAATCTAAAATTTATACATGTTTACCTTAATTATTTATATACGATTTGTTTATTTTGTTTCTATATGATTTGTTGATACATTTATTTTGTATAATTTCTGAAAAAATCCAAAATGTGTAAATACAAAATTAGACAAATAAAAATATTTATAACAAATGAAACTAAAATTATGAAACACAATTAAACAAACGTAGCTAAGCAGATTTAATCTCTTTGATATTATAAAATTTCCTCTATATGACGTTCTCTTTGGTGATTGGATTAGAAGTCATTATTTTTGTTTCTTTTTCCTTCTATTATTGTCATTTGAAATTGGGGAATTTTTTTTGATGAGTTAAGATCATTAATTCACGAAAAGTCGACGCTTGGATGGCTTTTAAAAGTTTGATCAATTTTTGACGAATTGTTCAAGAATTTTAATCATGTTTACTTTGGATTTTAGCTCAAACTCGATTTTTTTTAAAAAATTGTTAAAAACTTACGAATTATTGTGATATAAAAAAATATATATATGTTTAAAATAATAATTTGTTCTTTTAGGTAAAAATTAAAGGTCAAAATCAAATATGATTAGAAGTGCAAATGCATTACCTTTCGTTGACAAGTAGTCTAGAAAGTGGGTACTTAAACCAAATTTTATCCCTCCTACCTCTATTTTATTTGTTATTATATTGTATTTTTAAAAAAAATTAATTTGATTAATTTTGTAAGTTAAATTAAATTACATTAATTTGATATCTCTAACAAAAAATTTAGATATTTAAAAATTGTACAAAAAATTACTATAAATTATAATGTTTTGCACATCAATACGATAAAAAAATATTATATCATATTTAATTAAGGGAAAAGGGTCTGATATACGCCTCAACTTTGTCATTTAGAGCTGATATACCCTGTTATGAAAATGACTCATATATACCCCTACTTGTAAAGAAATGACTCACATATATCCTTTTCCTCTAACGGAAATGAAAAAAAAAGAAGATTAATCTAATTTTTTATTATTTTTTCTAAAAAATATAATCTCATATGAGTAAATTTAATCTTCGTTAAACATATTTTTTGACTTTTTTTTTGTTTCAATGGCTAATTTATAATTATTATTTTGATAATCAAATTTATTTATATTTCACTAATATTCTTGTAAAACTTATTGTAGATGTTCAATTTTTTTTTCGAATATGAAATTAAATTACAATACACACAAAAAAAATAGTTTAATTTTTTTTTCTCTTTGAACTAAGGAAGTTTGAAAGAAAAAAATAAAATAAGAATAAGAAACTCAAATAATTATAACAAAAGAAGTCAAAAAATAATTTATGTATGAACAAAATTAAAATATACTTTGAACTTTGATAGAAGAATCATATATAACCCTAAATATTTTTTTTTTAAAAATAGAAGTAATAAATAGAAATTTAAAACTGATTTTTTTGTTTCCGTTAAATGAAGGGTATATGTGAGACATTTTTATAACGAGAGGTATATCAGCTCTAAATAACAAAGTTAAGGAATATATCAGACTTTTTTCCCTTTAATTAAAACTGTTGTAATTCAACTCAAAAAAAAATCACGACACTTAAAAGTAAACAGACAAAGAGTTTGATTTGCAAAATTATAGTATCGTTGGGACTAGGGAGTGAACTTGCATTTCACTCAAAGGCCATTTCCCCCTTTTCAAGATGTACCCACCAACACCACATGTAGATCGAGTACCTCATTCTTTGATTTGAAGCTTACTTTTCCCGTAATTAGTGTTAAATAGTCAACTTAAATCATCACGGCAATAGTACCTTTTGTGATATTAGATTAATAACTATACTTTACGTGATATTTGTTATCTTCGATCAGCATATTCATATGTATCAGATATTTTTATTCATATTTATAATATATTAATTTTTTTTAATAACTATTTAAATATTACTAATATATTACAAATTTAATTGGAGTTTGGATATAAATTTTTAAATATTCTTGATAAATATTATATGAGTAAAAATTCGAGTGAAATTTCACCATGTGTTTGACTATATGATTTGGCAAATATATTTCACATTTTTAGAAAAAATACGATTTATACTCATGAGTTTTAAAAACTATCAAAACTAACTATAAGTTTGTATTACAAGTCAATTAAATGTTCGTTACAAAAATAACAAATAGTGTCCATGACACTAGAGCAATGTGATAATTTGAAGCAAGTGCAACAAGTATCATTCTATACATCGTTTAGTAGACGAAACACATGACTTTATTACCTTGAGTTAATTTTCATCATTTTCATCAACAATCATATCATCATTTAATATTCACTAAATATTTCATCACTATTTTGGTGTTCACGTAAAAAATTATGTAAATTCAACGCAAACAACTACTATAGATGGTGTTTTTGTAAAAGATAAAAGTTTGGGATAAAATTTTAATTTTCAAAAGATTCCAAATAATGAGATTCGACCCAAATACTAGAAAAAACTAATATTTAAAAATTTGAGATATTTATCAAAAATATATTTCCAAATAATAACAAATTATATGAACAAATATTATTTGCTAATTTTTTTTAAAAAATATAATTTGAAAAATCTATGGCCCAACGGCTACGACACGAAGGAACTAATAGTGTGTTTGATGATGTAAACAGATTATCAGTAGCAGTATTTGGTCGAGAAAGACAAAGGCCAACAGACTCAAAACAAAAACAAATATCCCACAAATCAAACACCCATATCATATTAGCTGTCAAAATTATTTAAAATAATTATATTAATGTACTAGTCATTTTCCAAAATAAA